TCTGGCCTTTCACTTTTACAATTTATGAACCTTGTGATCGTTTCTCTTTTGGCTACTGTTGCTCCTCATCTAAAAATTCTCAGTGTTAATCATTGTAAGATTTCACCTTCTATTTTTTTATAATCTTAACTTCCATTCAGGCAAAGGATTTCATCCACTCAGAGCTGCTGGCCTACCTCTACTCATCCGGGGATCAGAACAGCCTCATGGAGGAGTCGGCTGACCAGGCCCAGCGTAGAGATGAAATGTTGCGCATGTATCATGCACTCAGGGAGGCGCTGCACATCATTGGCGACATCAGCACCACCACCATCTCCACCCCAGTTCCCCCACCTGTAAATGACACCTGGATCCAAGAAGCCAGGTGAGAGGGGTAACAGATGGAAAATACTGAATCCAATGATGCAGCCAAATTTACATAATAAGCACATTTGACTGTAAAAAAACAGTACTTTCATCATGTAGTATCACCTCTGTCGGAAAAGTTAAAATTGAGAATCATTACTACTCCTAAAATGTTCTTCTAGAGTAGTGCAGGAGAATTAATCAGATTTTATTTTACTATCTCATATTCTTCTCTTAGCCCAACCCCTCAGCGCAGGCCAACTCCTTCAACTCAACCGGCACCCGGCCGCCCACCTGCTGTCCGAGGGGGCCCGACACCAGGACCACCAATGAACCCTTCCCCTGCCTTTGGAGCTTCGCTTAACCCCTCTCCTGCCTTTGGTGCACCACCAATCCCCTCTCGCCCAGGCCAACCCATCAACGCCTTCAACAGCCACCAGGATCCCTTCAGCGCACCCCCCCAGATCCCCTCCCGGCCAGCCCGTGTCCCACCGGGTGTACCCAGGTATGACTTTGTTACATGATGTCATCATCAGTGTCATGTATGTTTATTGAACTGTATTTGTAATGTTTTGTCACCAAAATCTCATCATCTTCTGTCTTTCAAGAGTCACAGCGGCCATTTTTCACACTCACTAGTTTCCCATGTTTGTATTTATTTTTTGGATTCATTCTCCTCTGTCTTAGGTCTGTATCCCTCTCGCTCTCTCTTCATGTCCTCAACTCCCCTATTTTCACTCTGTCGGGATGTTTCAGTTTCTCCAACATCTCTGTGAGCACGTCTCACTCTTTTTTTTCTTTATCTTTTCTCCTTGTTGCAGCCGAAGACCCCCCGGCGCTCCTTCCCACCGGCCCACCATTATCCGCCCTGCTGAGCACTCCCTGCTAGACTAGACCTGTGGCCATTCCCACTTATGTGTGTGCGCTTGTGCGTGGGTGTGTGTATCGGCACACTATAGGGCAGGGGCCCGAGGGGAGGGACTGAATAATATCGGTGCACACTGTACATCTTCCAGCCGTATTAAAGTCTATTCAAGCAATGTTAATAAGCTGCTAATACTGTCTTTATCAGTGCACATGAAAGAAAGAAAGATAGAAAGCCCTTAACCACTTGAATTTTACATTTGACTGCTGTGGAAAGTGTGTAACACAAAATGAAACCCAGCTGATCAGTTAGATACATTAACTCCTGTCTGTGGAGACGATTTATCAGATTCAGGCCAAGAGCTTTTTTAATGTAAAAACTGCTTAATTTCCACGGACAAGGTTTCATGCAGGATCCTATCAAATAACTTATGAACTGTTATTGGCCTGAGTTCCTGTCCCCTCCCTCAGCCTTTTTAAGATGCCCAAGAATAGATCACTGTGTGAAATACACACGTAACAGGTTGTTAATGTTTCACCGGGTTTTCATTTCCTAACTGATTTCATACTGAAAAAACAATAGCTTATTATCACTATTGTAATTCTGGAAGTGTTGATTACAATTCCCCCCCCCCCTGTGTTATTTTATTTGAGAGGCTTTGTCCTTTTTAACGACCATTGTAAATGTAGCTTTAAAATAAAGAAAATCTAATCTCAGCTGAAGCAAAGGATGAGGAGACGCAGGGTCGCATGAGACCGAGCGAGTAACCTACAGCTTCCCCGTCTTGTAAAATATTCTTCCACAATGAAAAGATGTCAGCCAGATTGACCATTATAATCCAAGCACTTCTAGCCATTTTAGCCTTACAACCAGCCACACGTAACAGGGATGTTATCGTCCGTTACCAGAACACTATGCACAAAAACCCAGGAGAGCAAGGGAGACTTTGTGGGGCGCTCTCTCTCCGCTAATTCTGAGTCGCGAAAGCCTTGAATTTTAAATCCCTTTATTCTCCGTTGAACCCCAACGAGGCCTTCAGCCTTTGGGTAGACTTTGTTCATTCCTGGATTAGCTGGCTCATATAGAACCGAACACACAGCACAGTCTCCTCTCGGAGAGGATAAAACTCAGTGAAGCGGTGGGGTGTGTCAATGAGGACAGGTCTGTGATGTAGAGTATAATGGAGGTATGAAGCATAGAGGAGTCGGCACATCTCACTCTGGGACATGAATTATTGCTGTGTGTTATGCTTCCATATATTAAAAATATTGTATATAGCTGGCCTATACTGGGGAGTTAGCACTTGTATTTCATTTAATTGCAGGAATGATGACAAAAAACATAATTGAAGCCCATGCGACATGTCATAATGCAACTGTAGGCGTCATTAAAAGGAAGCACCAACACACTCACTTCATCAGCATCGGATGCAGGGAAAAAGAGATTGGTCATCTCCTGGTGCATTATTTATAACCTGGGCATTTGTTATTTCTTCTAATGATTTGGCCGCAATTATATCAGACCCCTCAGCTTCTATTGGACTGTTTTGGATTCTGCTGCAGGGATTACTCCTCTGTTTATTGTCTAAACATGTTTTGGGAGAGCACTCGGGGCTCAACACACAGCTGTGATCATTTGATATGAATTTCATTTGTTTGGTCTCTGACCATTTAAAACCATTTTTTTCATTAACATTTGTAGGTGTGTTGGGGAAAACTGGTCAGGCGCGGGGGGTGGGTGACATTTGCTTATCTGGATGTTTTACATTTTTGGTTTTTCAGTAGATATGGTGAGAGGGTGGTGGGAGTTGTGGTGTGTGAAAGCACATCCTGTCTTGAGAATCTGTCTAGACATGTCACTGTTCTGAAACTTAATTACATCACCTGACAAGAAAAATCAAAAATTTCCCAAACCACAGACTCTCAAGACAGAATGTGTTTTTTTATCTTCCCTGCATTTCTCTACAGGTCTGGCTTTCAGTGACAGTGTCAGAAATTAAACATGTTCAGCACTGAATCTTTAAACTGAAGAATCATCAGAACTCCGGTTCACAAATTCAACTAATTAATGTTTTAAAAGTTCTTCTGGTTCAGTTCTACTGGCTTATTTCCTTGTGCCTGTCACTCGAGCCTGCCCTGAGAGAAGAACAGACTGTAAATGCCCTGTAATACATTAGGTTGTATCCTTCCTCTTCCCCTCCATTCTCTGGATCTGGTGGAAGGGGTTGGAAACCAACCTGCAAAAATTTCTTCTTTTTTTGTTTTGCAAACCTTTGTCAAGTGCCTCTGTAGCAATGGAATGATTTGAATGAACAAAAAATGACCTAATCCAGAAAAGAGAGTAAATAAAGAGGTGTTGTGTACAATAAAGGGACTGGCTCAGGTGGTTGGTGTCTCCTTGTTTGATCCACTCTGTCTCTCTCTCTCTCTCTCTCTCTCTCTCTCTCTCTCTCTCTCTCTCTCTCTCTCTCTCAGATGACATACTTTAGTGCCCCTCCTGGGTTTCCTCTCCTCACTTTTCTCTAATCCAATACACACTGACATAAAGCAGCTCATGTTCCTATGGCAACCCTCTACTGGCAGCCTCCCTGCTTCAGAGAGGCCCCGCTCGGATGATGGTCACTGTTCCTCAGCACGTATGCACATTTTCAACATAAGTCAAGTGATGAACAAAAGAATTAATACCTTGTCATAGTAACAGATTTTTTTTTGGGCCGTCGTATTTTCAGTGTCTATAAAAAGGGGAAGAACGGATCTACACCCAGGAGGGTGAACATTTTTATATGCACTGAACTTTTAGCCCCATTTATTTATTTAGAGGTAAAATCAAATCATTTTCCAGAACAAAATATTTGCTGAAGTAGACTTTCTCCAAGTTGCTGCATTAATGAATAAATAATGTTTCTAATCAGACCTTCCTGTGAGAGAGGAGGATGATCTCTAAGCCCCCTCGCAGGATTGCCTCTTCCCCAATTCCCTCGCCGTTCCGATGACTGGGTCCTGTAATGTCACCTATCAGACTGCGTGTCACAAGGTTAAAACATTAACGTTGGCTGATTGTCCCTGAACAGGCGCCCGGCTCCCCGTCGAAACCAGTGGTGACCTCGACCATGCAGCCTGCAGCCGACATGAAATCACCTCGATCCATGACAACAGCAAGACCACAGAGGAGCCACATATCTTTTATCTTCAGCTCACCCAGAGAGCTACTGACAATGTTAACAGGCCCACAAAATTAATCTGATGCTCAGTAATACCTCAATACATACTGAAGCAGCGATCTTTAAACTGAAGTATTTTTCCTACAGTGAATGTTGTCTAAAATAGTCCTGAGCACTAAAAATATTGTAGTATTTGCACAGCTAGTTACAGAGTGACTATAACACCTAAATCCACTGCAGATATTTCCTAGTTTATATCCAGAGGCCTGTCAATGAAGATGCAGATTGAAGTACAGTAGGGTTTTACTTGTAGGGATGAATTACCAGACAAAGTGCCAAGACATGAACAGTTCAACATGTTTGTTATTTTCACATCTGCTTTGTGATGACAAAGAAAATTGCCACATTATCATTTATGACAGAACAGCTTAACGATGGCTCAAGAAGCTGAGCAATCCCATTGATTTCTATCATGGAGAGAGGAAAACATTGTAGTGATCTGAATAAACAATAGGTCTTGTCCACTGCATTGTGTTTTTTTTTTTTTACAGCAAAAAACTTGAGTCAAATGACAGTGCTTCCAAATAAGGAAGGATATGAAAAAGTAGCTTGTCTGCATTATTATTTCCGGTTATTCAACTTCCAACTTTCAATTCCATTGTTTATTTTTGTCTTTTTAAACAGCTCAGCAAAAAAAGGGTGTCCAGTAAGTGATGTTTATTTGCTTTGTCATAATATAGGCTCTAGTAATGTTTTGTTTGTAATATTTGAAATTCAATAAAATCAATCAGTGAGAAAGGTTTGAGTTAAAAGCTTCAACGATGGTATTAACAAATATCTGTGTGTGTCATAGACTATTTAAAGATGGACGATATCACAGCTCCCAAAAAATGAAGCCAAAATGTGTTGATTGCTCCTGTGTGGCTGGAAGCAGTATAGGTCATTAACTCTGACTCCTCCATATATGTTGATGGGACAGGGCCCAAAAAAACCATATATGAGGGTTTCTGACATTTAAGGTTTATTTGTTGCTATTAAAATGGGGTGAAATGTTTGATCATCGTCTGCACAAGCTGGCAGCTTTCGTCTGCAGGCTATTTGGCTTCATTTCTGGAGAGTGGGAGGAAGTGAAGATGCGTCGTCCATCTTTATGTACAGTCTTTGGTTTGTGCATATTCCAGTCCTGTAAGATATTCAGGTGTTGGTAAGACTGGACCAAACAGAAAAAACATAAAAACATAAGCACTCTTTGGCTGTAATTTAAAAAAGTTCCTCAGTGCATGATTAATCAGTTTTTGTAAAAGATGTGAACTATCCCTTTAAGTTCTGCTCACATATCAATTGAACGTCCATCTCTCCAGCGTGAGAGCAGTGAGGTGTTTGCTGGAGATCAGCGAAACAGCTCTGTTGTGACTAGGTGCTGGTCCGCTTGTTGCTGTCAAAGAGACGTTGCAGGGTGTAGATTTGTGTGGCCGCAACAGTCAACATGACGAGCAGGTTGAGGCAGGACCAGAAGGACACCCGCCACAGGTTGTCCTCCAGAAGGTAGCGGTCCCTCGCCTCAAAGGCCCGCAGCGAGGTCTGGAGCTGACGGGTCCTCTCCAGTCGCTGGTACACGGAGTCCATCGTCACCTGGAAGAGAAAGAACAGCACAGATGAGAGAGAAGTGTGAGATGATACAAGGTTTGGAGGGAAATCAAAGCTCCCTGTGTTTCCCCCTCACCCTGATGTCCTCCAGTTTGTACTCCACCATGCTCTCGGCCATGGCCACGTCCATCCACTCATCTTGGCCCCTACTTGCACCGCTCTGGCTGTTTGGCCTGACGCTCACCCCAAAGAACACAACCTTCACCGACATTTTACTGAAGCTGTTGTCGAAACACAGCCGGTAGTCTCCATCCTCTGTGGGAGACACCCTGCAGAAAAGAAAATAGGTGTTCCAGAGGGGATTTGCTCTCAACAACATCGTATGATTCATTATTAAGACACAACAAAATAGAAGAGTGTATTAAAGGTTCTCAAAAAAGTCTGTGTGATGATACATGTACAAGATCTGAAGGTATATATTTCTTGTACGGGTTCTCACATTCTTTTTGTAGTAAACTCCCAAGTGCTACTTTAATACTTGCTTCCAATTTCTAGATGATTGGTTTTCAAAACAAATAAAGAGTGGGCCTATTACAGGGACTGAGCATCACTCCAAAGGAGGCGGTTGCTGGAGAGCATATAGGTGACCCACATGTGAATGTTGTCAGATTGCCTGAAGTCAGAGACCAGCCGGTGTCCGCCGGGTGAGATGAGGGCAAAACCAACGTCCAGACCGGACCCGGCTATCACCTGTAAGACAGTGAGTAAATAATAAAAGTGGAATGGCACTCAGTAGAGTGCATACCTCCGCCAAGGCCAAACAGTCCCCTTCAATCCAATCAAGCTGCACCACACTTCACACACTCATAGATGTTAATCCCATCAATATGCCAGATTTTTTTCATTAAGATCCATGAAGTATTCCCTGGAAAAACAGTGTGAAATGTTAAAAAAAAGGCCAAGTTGTCCAGGATCCGTCCCCTAGTCCAGATCCGCACCAAAATTCAATGGATTCTTCCCTGACCCACACCACATCCGTCCACTGAGTTATGTGGAAACCTGAACAATAACAGACACGCGGAAAGACCTTGGCGAAGGTGATGACACCATAAAACTTGTAATCGACAATAAATATTATGCAACAGAAAGACATTGTGACAGAAGTACAATAAAAGGTGCATGGTTTCAAACGCATCTGTATAAATGGGTTTCCAGCTGTTTTTTAAAGGTCAGAGGTCATGCAGAATATTCAGGTTACCCACAATTCATTCACATATCCTCTGTTATCTTGGCATTTTCATTCCAGACGATCAGCCCATAGCTGTAATTACACTATGTGAGCAGCTGCTGTCTGAAGTGCAAATTAAAGCGCCGGTAGTCCAGTCAGCAGCAACAATGCATCACAGTGATATTAATGGGATAGTTTAGTATCTGTGTCTGAAGGGTGCACTGTCAGTATGAGGTGTGAGGTGAAACAATGCAAAGGTCACAACCATAAAATTGTCTCAAGGCCGGCAACAGGTTGCGAATGACTTGAGTATGACTATAATTTTTTATTTGAAGCTGTATGTTCGGAAAACAAAACTGATGACAACATTTATGCTTTGTCAAAGTATTGATTTGAGATTAATTTTGCTGGACATTATCTATTTTGGTCTTTTAAGTAAATCTTGTGTATCTGTGTTCTTACTGGACGATAAAAACATGATATTATCTGTATATGTGGGGAAGTAGAAGAAGGTTTCTTTTGTTTTTCTACTTCTTCCTTATCTCAGGTGATTAGGTGTTGTATCTTTCTGCATTGCTTACAAGACCAAAGTCCAGAACCTGTCCACTTGTTTTTCAGTTAGATACGATTCACAAAGCTTATTCAAGCTTATTCAAAACCTCAACTACAACATTTCGCTGTCCCCATGGACGACAGACAAGAGAGAAAAATATGGAGAAAATTATATTCACCTGATATTCAACCTCCATGGTGTCGTTTCTCACAGTGGTTTGGTAGAAACTCTCGGTGCTGCCGGCAGGTAACAGAAATGTGAATTCCACGTCTTGATTTGGCCTCAAAGCCAAAGAAAAGTCTCCAGTCAGAGTGAAACATGCCAGCAAACAGAGCTGTGCAGACACAGTCATCATCCTCCTCCGGTCGCAGTGCATTTTCCATTTACTCCACTCCCACCTACTTTTCAGCAACTTTCTTCTCCTGTGTTACACATTTACAACAAAACCATTTCACTCTGTGTCTGTGAGTGCTTTCTCTGGTACTCTGACGGCTGCAGAGTCACTGGCGCCTCTCTCAAAGCTGAGTGAGTGGAGCCACTATCTGTGTGGACCAATGGAGCTCTGCACTCTGGACAACAGCCACATGCAAAACTGAGAGGCAGAAAGGTATCAAGGTGCAAAAAGCTGTGGGGGATATCTAGGCCTGCACTGACACCGTAAAGGTTTTTTTTTTATTTATTTGATTTTTGAAAAAGAGTTCTTGATGATTTGTCCCTGTTCTTTTTCTGAGCAAGTAGATGATTTTGTGCTTGTCATGTCCTGTTGTATCCCATAGATGGAGCTGTGGGAGTCAGAACGGACAAAAAGCTTGATATGGGAATTTTACATCCGTGATAGAGACTTACAAAAAAAGATTTTTTCATATCTATGTAGAGAAACTGTGATGCTATTCAACTAGCAGCCCCTGGGCCTGATATGGAATTTTTCGAAGGCCCTCAAGTCAACTTCCAAATCAGAATGTGTGTGTGTGATATAATAAAACTAAGTTATATATCTGACCAGCCTCGTTCTGAGCTTCTCCCTTTTGCTCTTTTTGTCTTTTTGTCTTTCTTCTCCTCCTGGGGTAGGACTGCATGTGCATGGATACACACACACACACACACACGCAGAATAGGTGACATGTTTTACATGAGCTGCTTAAAGGTCCAGTGTGTAAGATTTAGGTGAAAGGGAAATATTGGCAGAAATTTAATGTAGAATAATCCTCATGATGTTTTCACTAGTTCATTTCATCTAAATTGTATGAATTGTAGTTTTCTTTACCCCAGAAAGGCCCTTTTTATTTAAATACTTTATGTTTACATCAAGGGGACCCTCTCTACGGAGGCCACCATGTTTTTTACATTAGTCCAAACTGGACAAACTAAGCGCCTTTTGAGTTTTTATGACAACCAAAGCTCCCACAGGTTCTTTTTCATGTTTGGAAGGAGAGGGTGAGGTGAGGGGTGTTCAGCTGCAACATGCATTTTCAACACTAGATATCACAAAATTCTACACACTGTACCTTTAAGGTAAAAGATGATATGGAGAAGCTGTCTGTCTGAGTGATGAGTGTGTCTTAGTTTGTTTGAGTTTCTCTTGAATCTGGTTGAATTCTTATAAACTCACGTGCTGTCCGACACCAACCAGCTCCTCTCTTCTCCCTCTCCAACAGTGGTACCTACAGACAGTGTCACAGGAGCAGAGAGGATGATTAAATGGGAAATGTTCTGTATCTATATAAAGCTTCTTGAGTGTTGATGACCACCTTTGCCAATCACCCAAACCGTGCATCTATGCTCAGCATATTTCTCTATCACACATCACTCACACACTTGAGAACTTGGGGTGCAGTGTCTTGCCCAAGGACACTTCAGCACGCAGAACAGAGCAGCCAGGGGTCGAAGCACAGAGCCTCTGTTTAGTGGATTTATTTCACTTAAATCTTGTACTTCAGCACTGCATCTTCATTAATACAGTCAGATCTTGATTCAATGTCAGCGCAAAGTTGAGGAACCGGACTCCGTCCTTGTCCTGTCACCAAGAATGACCCTGAATGAAGAGTCAAAGTGTTCGTCTGAGCCCACGTAGGACCAAAGTCTGAGACCCCGTAAGCATGAAAGTGGTCGTGATTCAAATCTTGATCTCATTTTTGGTCCAAAGATTGCATGAGAGAAACCACTGCGGGTGTGTGTGATCAAGAGAGGAAGTGTGAATAGAGATATTTCAACATTGATACACTGGAATGGGGGGGCGTGATGGGGAGGTTGAGACTGTCTCTTGTTTGTCGTTGGCCTCCACCTTGATTCTTCACATCTGGTCGTTTGTCTGGTTCTGCGGCTGCATGTGAAAAATCCACCTCGGTATAATTTTCACTTTGCTGAATGCAGACAGGTGGGTCTCTGGCGACCTCAGAAAGGTGTCTCCATGATACGTCGGAAGATTTCTATATCTGAGTCTGTTCTTAGTCTGACTACTGGTGAGCTACGTTCACTTGAACCAACCACAAGTGAGCCCACCCATTCTGCTGCCTCTTCACACTTCTCCATCTCTTGAGCGTCACATACATCTCTCTCACTCTCTCTCTCTCTCTCCACGGCCCCTGTGAAGCAACAACCTCTGACAACTTCTCGAGGACATTCACACACTTATTTCATTGTTTTCAGTTCCAGACAGATCACCTTAGGTATGGTCAAGCACGGGCTTCAAAATGTGTATGTGGTGGACCGCAATGCCACCATGCCTCCTATACCGCCCAGGCTGGGCCAGAGACAATGGCGAGCAGGGGCGGCACAGACCCTGCTGTTCCTGCTGGTGAGTCTGGCATTGTGCGGCATCACCATCGAAGCCTGCCTCATCTACCGTCTCTACGTACTCGAACCTGTGAGTATGAACTATGTAAACTCTCATAACATGGATGTCACAATTATTCTTTGTATATTTTTAATCTCATTCAGATTTATCACCCTTTGACGATTTAACTTGTAAAATGTTTTTTCCTACTTTTTATGTCCAATCC